AAAAAACAAAACAACAACAAAAGCCCAAGAGCATAAACAATATTACAACATACCCTTGTGCTGCTCAGATTTACTTGGGCAATTCAGCCTTCTCCATTCTGCAAAGGACATCTCTGGTGTGTTCGTTGCCTGCCCTGTAGTTCATTAGAATAAGATACAGCACTCCAAGATTATTGTAATGCACGGAAAAATGGACAAATGCTTCACAAGAATGTCAGGCGTCCTAAGAATGCTCTTTGATCTTTGCAGGGCATTAGTTGCAAAATTTGGCTGCCAAAAGAAAGGACTGTCATACATATGATGGAATTTTGATATTTGGTTCCCTTGTCATTTTGGTGCACAAAGCTTATTATCTTCAAGGCTAGGTGAAAATGAATTTTTTATAATCTTTCTCAGTCACAATGGAAAACAAAAACTCTCTTGGCTTTTGAGATTTGATGTATTCAATAGATATTTGTAGCTTCTATATGTGCGTCTGGATATGCCAAATGACTGTCTGATCTTTGGCACTTTTCTCGGCGATGAATTGCAGACCTCCATTTTCTGTCATGCGTTTAATGTAACTACCAAGCTAGACAGAAAAAGATTTAAGACCTTAAGTGTAGTTGCTCATTTGCTCGCCTTTCTTATTCCAAATGAAAAATTTGAAACTCTTCAAGGACCAGCATGAAGTAACACCATTTAACCATGTTAGTGCCACCAAGCAGCTTTAAAAAATAGAAGTGGCAAAACTTACCAGTGCTTTTGCTAATACCCAAACCAGCATGAAGATAACTCCACTGACAATTTGTAAATGCCTTTATACTCACAGAATGTTGTCTTTTTTGTTTAAATTCATTTATTATAGTTTAGATTTGTGTTTCAAAGTATACATGTTTTTGTTTTATCAAGAAGAATGCCCTTTAGTTATTAATGAAGGTATATATCTCTATCTGGCACATTAACAAGCCTTTTTATCGAATATTGGAGGTCAGCTCCTAGTTGACTTTACAGAGAGGCCAGGCTATCAGATGGTGCCATTGCTCTTATGATAATGGCAGTGTTTGAAATTTAAATGATCTGACAGGTCACAGCATTCAGCAACATGGATGACATGCTGCAGACAGCGCATTTGATTATAGAAGGAACATTCGTCTACCTGAGGGACAGCACTGAGTTCTTCATTCGCGTTAGAGATGGCTGGAAAAAATTGCAGGTAATTTCTAAACTTTTTTTAACACACTGCCTTCAAATACCCTCTAAAAATAATAATATACTCCCATAAATGCCATTTTTTTCTGTTTTGAATAGGGAAAAGTTTGTAGTCAAGGTTTCATTTCAATGTACTCTTTTTCTTAAAGCTGGGAGAACTGATCCCCATTTCTGCCGACAGCCCTCCACCTCCTGCACTTTCCAGCAACGTGAGTAGTTACCTCATGCATTCATTTGTCAGCTTTTCCTGAGTGCCCCATGGTATCTAGCAAGCCTCTCCAAACTCTGGACAGCCAGCTGTGCACGGTTTAGTATCTGGTGAAATCCTAGAAATTGATGGGCGCTAACAGACGTTCCCGTAATGGAGTGGAGGAATAACGAGATCCAGAGGCTACAGACCTGCTGTTCCTATGTAGTAGCCACATCCTCTTGGTCAGGGTTTTCCCTCTCTTGGCCTCAGTTTGTTCATCTGTGGAATCATTTATTGGTATAAGCAATCCAGAAGATTCTTTTAATTTTTGGCACCGTCTGCCTTATAAGAACATGGGCAACTGGTGTTGTCCGTCTTCTAGCCCTAGAGCAATGCTTTGAGGTGGGCACTATCATCCTGGTTTTGCCAATGGTGAACCGAGGCTCTGAAGAGGTAGCTTTCTCTGCGAAGTGAAAGCATCGGTGATTAAACATGGGTTTATCAAAAAGAATGCCCTTCCTTGATTCGGCGCTCTTTTAAAAGTCTTGAGAACATATTCTCCCTTTCTGAAGATGACTTCTTCAGCAGGTCATGAAACTCTTTACAGTTAAGAGTCACAGTTAGAGACAATGGCAAACAATTGCATCAAACTAAAGCATCTTCTCTAGAAATATTCCACTTGCACCTCAGTGCACTCTGAAGAACAGATCGAATGCATATTCAGAACTGTTTCTTTTCCTCCTTTACATAACAGCTACATCAGCCTCTGCCTCCACTGAACCCTATTTCAAGTGCCAATTATGAGAGGCCTGCTGTAAGTACAATTTATACATTTAATCTGCAAATACTGAGTGTGTATCTACTATGTGCTAAGCCTCATGCTTAGTACATAGTTCCATACCATCATGATGCTTATAGACTGGTGGGGGAGGCAAACAAAAAATAGAGAACTACAATACAGGGTGGTAAGTTGTTTGGGTGAGCCAAGCACAGGGCGCTGGGGGTATGAGGAAGGTCAGAGAAGTCTACCTGGAGAAGGTGACCTCCAAACTAAGACCCAAAGGACAGCTGAGTTCAAGGGTGAGCCAGGTAGAAGAAAGAGGAAGAGGGAAGATGGACAAGAGGGAGGCAAGGGCAAGGGCTGTGCATTCCGTAATTGCTAGTATTTCAGTCTAGACAAAGAATAGAGTTCAAGGCAGAAACGGGAGACGTTTAGTCTGTGGAAGTCAGCAAAAGCAAGGGCTAAGCCTCAAGGGCTTGCAAACCAAGCCAAAGAGTTTGACCATTTTCTGTGGGCAATGGGAAGCTACAGAAGGGAGCTAAGGCAGGGAACAGGTATGATAAGACTGGTGTTTCAGAAATTACCTTGGTTACAGTATGCAGATTAATCAGAAGGGACAGGAGCAGGGGTCCAAAGGCCAGCTAGGTAGCTCCTGCGCAATCTGAACTAGAATCACAGCAGTGAGTACATAGACTAGCAGGCCACTGGAGAGACATGAAAGAAGCAGGAGTGGCTACTTGGGTCATTGGTTGAAAATGGTGCAATAAGGATGAGAGAGGTCAAGAATAATGCCCACATGCTTGGATGATTGAGTGGTGACAGTTTCCTTTCCAGGGATTGTTTCATCGCTAGAATTAGAAACTCTCTCTCTATTCTTTTGCTAGGTTAAGTAAAGATCTTGTTTAAATCATCATAGATACCTCATGGAACGCCATCACAGGAAGAACAGCCAGGCCTGAGACTCTTGTCTCTATTAGTCTGCTTTGCAGTCTCCACAGATAACCTTCTGAAAGAGTCTTTCTTCCTCCCCACCTCACCCCAACACACATACATAGGTGACATGAGCTTGCACACAGCTTTGGGTCACTCTGGCACCGATTCTTGACCCAATTCTGTGTGATTTTACAGCTGCCAAGTCCAGTACTACGGACTCAGTTCAGAGTCTCGGGAGAGATAGTCTGTACAGTCAGTCTTGGGTCAACTGCCCACTCCCAGACCAATGGAGAGTAGCCAGGTGAATGAGGTTGAAGGCCTAAGGACACTCCTTGTAGCAAGGATTGTGGGGGCATTTTCTAAAAACAGATGTGAGCACTTCCTGCTGTGCTGCTATTGACCAAGGAGGAACTCATTTGGAGCGTGGTGAGTCTGAGGTGCTCAGATAGGATCTGAAGGTCTGAAACCCCACAGTGGGATCTGGGCTGGAGACGAACCATGCAATTATTACGGGGCTGGTTGGATTCCTGAAAGAGAATCTATACAGTCAGAAGAGATTAGACGATGAGGAACAAAACTGAAAAGGAACTAATGGGAGAAATATGAGAAGGAAACTGAGAAGCCATCGCCAGAGAGGAAGAAGCAAGCCAAGCAAGGTGGTAGCCAACAGTGTCAAAGGCTGCCAGGAAATCCTTAAGGAGAACCAAAAGGTATCCTTCAAATTTAGAATCTAGAGCAAAGCATTTAGTAGCCAAAAAGATTCTAGTTGGTTGAGGAGTCAGTGGGAAGTGAGGAAGAGAGATGTGAGTATCAGTAACCCTTCAAAAAGCCCCAAAGTTAGGACCATAGCTAAAGGATTTTTTAAAATAGTATTTTATAAATTCAGAACGAATACGTATTCATTGCAGGAAATGTTAACAGTGCATGAAAAGAATGGAGAAGAAAATAGTAACACACCTACAATTTTATCAAAACTACAACCATCCCCAAAATAGCAATTTTAACATCTTGAGTGTTGTAACATTATTGTCTTCATAAAAGGACAATATGAAAGTGTTGCCATTTTATAAAAATGTGGCCGGGCGCGGTGACTCACGCCTGTAATCCCAGCACTTTGGGAGGCCGAGGCGGGTGGATCACGAGGTCAAGAGATCGAGACCATCCTGGTCAACACGGTGAAATCCCGTCTCTACTAAAAAAACAAAAATTAGCTGGGCATGGTGGCGCGTGCCTGTAATCCCAGCTACTCAGGAGGCTGAGGCAGGAGAATTGCCTGAACCCAGGAGGCGGAGGTTGCGGTGAGCTGAGATCGCACCATTGCACTCCAGCCTGGGTAACAAGAGCAAAACTCCGTCTCAAAAAAAAAAAAAAAAAAAAAAGTTCCAGTAGTTAAAGAAATACAAACATGAGGACACAAAACCTCCCAATCTCATCATTCAGACAACCATAATTTCAGACATTTCTCTGTGTCTTTCTAAAGGAGAGTAGCCTTGGTGGGATTAGAGGTGTGGCCAGGAGCCCCTGCAGTTGCCTCCTGCCTGTGCCTTTCTTGGGCAGCCCCTGGCATTGGGGAAGCCTCAATCCTTCAAGGACCCTTGTGTTGCGCTCAGATGTAGCCCCAAAGTGCACTGGTTGGAGGGCGATGAGACCACAGGGCTTCTTCCCTCAGGCACCAGAGTCTCCATATGCATGAGGAGGAAGACGGGGGTTGGGGGCAGCATAGTCAGATGGCTGGCAAGGACATCAAAGGGTCAGGGTGTGTATGTGGAGGTGGAAGTCTGGTGGCCTGCCTGTGATTGTGGTGGGTGGGCAGCATGCTAAAGCTCTCTCTTATCCTAATGGCTGGGAATGTAGAGCATAAAATGCTAGCCACTGGGAGGCCTGCTGGGGAAGCCTTGGCTCAGTGCGGGGCAGGAAGGAGATGGGAATGGGGCATGATGCTGCTTGACCTGGACCTCTCAGTCTAGCATGGTGGTCAAGACAGAACCGGGATGAATAAAAAGAGAGAGACTGTAGCAGGCGGCAGCCTTGGGGTCCATCCTCTACAGGAAGGAAAGGGGTGTTGAATGGAGAAAAATATCCACAGAAGTGCAAGGGCTGCTTGGGGCAGTCTGGACACTCACTCCGGCTCATGGCTAGTTGTGGCCAACTGGCTGGAAGCTGGAAAAGCAGAAAACCACCATGGCAATCCTTGTCACCTCGATACATAGAGGCGTTGTTCAGGTGTGAGAGGCAAAGTAGAAAACGGAGAGTCATACTGGCCGCCTCCTGCCCCACCATGTCTCATTTCATGTTCTTTGGCTTAAGACATTTAAGAGTATTTTCCTTTTTGATAACTTGGATCCAGGTCCTGTACCAGCCTCCCAGCTCTAAGTTGATGAGGTAAAAGTTACCCCCGTGGTGAGATTGATGGGAGACAGGGAGATGAGTGTTCCTTGATTATGGAATGCATCCCAGAGGGAGTGGCAGAAAGGCTGAGAGAGACGGCAGTTGTGGAAGGCTGGGTTTGGGGAGCGAACATGTGGGAGAAATAGACTGTGGACTGGTTTTTATTTTGGCTGCTGACCAAGATAGCAGGGATGTGAGGCTGGAATTACCATAAGACCCCTAATTTCCAGAATGGTCTGTCTCAGCAGTCTTAGTCACAGGTGCCATGTCCTTCTTTCCATGGCTTTCCCCCAGACCCCTCATGTGATCAGCCCCAGGCCTATCCAGCAGACGGAAGAAAGGACAGCAGACAGACGGCTGGAAGAAGCTCTGGGATCCAGGGCCAAAGCCAGCTTAAAACCCCTGCAGAGACCCAGAGTTCTCAAACTTATGGCCTGAAGGTGGATTCAGATCCCTGAAGTGCTTTATTTGGTCCAAGCAATATTCTGTTGTATTTTTTTCACCTAAGGAAAGCATTTCTACTACTTAAAGCTGTTCAGAGAGCTGAAACAGGCTGCTTGGGAGACCATAGTTCTGCTTCCCCGGAGATGGTCAGACAGAGACTGCAATTCCAATGTCAGGGAGGGATTGACTAAGATGACCTCTAACGTGCCTTCCAGCCTAAGAAGTCTGGAATCTTCGCAGGAATGTGAGATGGTTCTGGGGGCTGGAGTTTGCCTTTGATTCTGACAGCTCTCTTTTGTCTCACATTTTTCAGCTACATTTGGCTGCTCTGAACATGCCATTTTCTGGGGACATTCGAGCTGATTTTCAGTGCTTCAGGCAGGCCAGAGCTGCAGGACTGTTGTCCACCTACCGAGCGTTCTTATCTTCTCATTTGCAAGATCTCTCCACCATTGTGAGGAAAGCAGAGAGATACAGCCTTCCCATAGTGAACCTCAAGGTAAAAACAAGTATGGTTCCCACTGCCTTCTGCAGGCATTGGTCTCCACAGGGCCTGGGGACAGTTTTCATTCCTGACGTCAACAGAAGACTGTGGACTTAAGCCAGCTCTCTCCCTGACTGGCTGTGTCACTTTGGGCGGGTTCTTTGCCTTCCCTGAACTTCAGTTTCCTTTTTGCTTGTATGACTCTTGGAGCACACAGGAGAGATAATGATAACTTCTTTCATTGATACAGATTCTTGTTTGTTTACAAAGTACCCCATTATCTTAAGAGGTACTTTTAATAAACATGAGAATTAATTTTTTAGTTTGTCAGACGAGAAAACTGAGGCTCAGAGGAGGAAAGCAGTTTGCTTAAAATCACTGCACATTAGAGTACTTTGTCCTGACCCCCGGTTTGGTGTTCTCTGAGCATTTAAACAGGTATTTCTCTGCCCCATTTGTTGGTAAGACAGGCCCTTGTAGGATCCCTCAGTTATTCCACAGAAATAGCAGACTCCTTCAAGGCTATGCAGAGAAAGCTCGCTGCCACTTACACCCTGGAGAAGCTCTGGGTCCTGATGACTGTTTGTTTCTTAAAGGTACTTTAGACCCTTTAGTCTCTGCAACCCCAGCACTCCAGTTTGAAACCCTGAGGCTAGGAAGTTCCATCCTAACCCCACACCCAGCACTTTCCATCTCCTGTCCCAGAAGTCTATTTCAGCACCTTCACCCACTGAAATTATTTTTATTCTTGGATCTCCCTACAAGGGACCAGGCTCTTTCAGGAAAAGGACTAAGAAGTTCATCTCCATTTCATCCACAGTGTAGACTGAGACAAGGCCTGCCACATATTTGAAGCTTAGTATATATGCATAATATTTTCAAAATAACAATAATAAATTAAAGACATAAAACACATTTGTGATGGGAAGGAGGCTTGTACACACATACAATAAGATAAATTGCCTCAAGACATAAGGCAAAAGAGTTTGTGGACGGATCATAAAATCAAACCACAAACATTTCTTGAGTTTCCAGTCTCTGTCCAGGCTCTAGGATTGGGGCTGGAGACTCTAGTATGAGGTGGCATCTGGGCCTTGAAGAATGAGTAAAAGTCTAATTCATTTGTAGGCCGATGGTATAATGATTCTAATGTGGTATTTTGTCTCTATAGGGTCAAGTACTTTTTAATAATTGGGACTCAATTTTTTCTGGCCATGGAGGTCAGTTCAATACACATACTCCAATATACTCCTTTGATGGCCGAGACATAATGACAGATCCTTCTTGGTAAGTGAGGGTGGAAGTCCTCAGATATGGTGTGATAGACAGTTTTAGGGGGCATCCTAACAATGGGATACCTTTATCAGCTGCTCCTCTAGGATATTGCCAACATAAAGTCACAGTGAGGCAACTGTGTGCCATGGAGAAAGCCTTGTTGTTGGAAGTCAGAAGACCCAGGTTCAGTAACTCAATATGGAACCCTGGGCAAGACATTTTCACTCTCTGAGCCTCAGCTGCCTTACCTGTCAAATGGGCAAGATAACCATGTCTATGTCATGGAATTTTTGTGAGAATAAAATGAATATATATGAAAACATATAGCATGCAGGGGGCACATAGTAAGTGGTAAGCAGTACAACTCCCGGTGATCCTGTAACTACGCTGTGATTTGCACTCTAAATCTTGAAAATTATGTGTGTTTTTCAGAATAGAACAATTCGGCAAACCCTCAGGGCTTACTCTATATCAGGCCTGAGGCCAGGCCTGGAAGGCACAGTAATAAACCTACACGCCTCCTACCCTTACAGGGCTCACAGTCTGCAGAGGAAATAGACCCACACTAACTATGACTCTAGACAGAATATTGTAAATGGAGAAACAGGTACCATAGGATACACAGGAAATGTTTATTTTCATTTGTACTTAGGGGTGAGAATCAGAGATGGCTTCCTGCAAGAGGAAGTATTTATTGGCCTTTGAAAGATGAGAAGGAGTCACTGGTCTGAAAATGAAAGAGAGGCTCTCCAGACTAGGGGACCCATGAGCAAAGGTTTAGATTCACAAAAGCAGAGGGTGTGATTTGAAAACAACTGCAAGCTGGGTATGGCTGGAACCTAGTGTGTTAAGAAAGCCAGGAAGAGCAGTGAGGATAGAGAGGTGATTTGGCATCAGGGTTAAGGAGTTTAACTTGATTCACTAGACTTATGCCAATTTGCTTACCAAAATATACCACAAAGAAGTGTCATTTTGAAAAATAACATGACAAAATTACTTTTTAGGCCCCAGAAGGTCATTTGGCACGGCTCCAGCCCCCATGGCGTTCGCCTTGTGGATAACTACTGTGAAGCGTGGCGAACCGCAGACACAGCGGTCACGGGACTTGCCTCCCCGTTGAGCACAGGGAAGATTCTGGACCAGAAAGCATACAGCTGTGCTAATCGGCTAATTGTCCTGTGTATCGAAAACAGTTTCATGACAGACGCCAGGAAGTAATAGCCTTCCAACGATTCTTAAAGAGTTTTCCATTTTTTCTTATGTGAAGAGTTGACACTGAAATCTAAAATGTTTGATTGTTGTAAATATTACAGTTTTTTTTTTTTTAACTACACATTCGTTACAACAGCAACCAAAGAAAACATACCTCAATACACTCAAACTGAAGACATAGAGGACTCAGATCAAAGACAAAATCTGATCCATATATTGGTGCTAGATTCTGCGGGAAAACGCATCCCAACATAGGTTAAGAGCAAGTTGAAAACAAAGGCCATGGTATTCTGCCGCTGCATCCTTGAGACAGTTATATCCTCCTTTCAGCCATTGTTGTTGAGTGTAAGATGTCCTTCATGTTTTCTTACAAAGTCAGTGTTTAGAAACGTTACCCTTTCTAACTTATGTGCAGACCAAATGCTTTTCTCTTTCACATACTATTCGTACACAGAAACAGAGCGGCTCAAATGATCCTATTTGTATTTTCTGATACTATCAGACTTTAATTTTTTTCCTGAAATATTATTGCCATCATGTTTTAGGAATTTTATATTTTTACACAATCATATTTTAGTATGGCATCTGTTTATGTAACTCTGACTTGCTGGAAAAGTTAAAACTCCAAATTATCTGCAACTAGAAAAGAAATAGCACATAATTACTACCTTCCCCTTGGTGGCTCTCCTCCCCAACCCCCACCCCACAATTTTATGGCTTCCATTTGGCAACTTTTGAATTATAACTTCGATTGAAATAAACAGGTTCATGGAGATGAATTTTCTGAGAAACATATATCTACATGTTATATGCTTGGATTTTTTTCCATGTAAGTGAACATAAAAACATCTTTTCTGGGCGCTTTCTTCTGTTTGACTTTTTCCCGCTCGTTCCTTTATTCTCCATCGCCGACATGGAAGCAGACGGGCGGGTTTGCTAATCCTGCCACATGTGCTGCCCCTCAGGTGATGATCAGAGAACTGAAAAGTTTTCCCGTCATGTTCGTCTGCCCTGGCTCTTGTCTCTCTTGTAGTGGGGGCAGTGTAGGGTGTATAGGGCCCCAGAGTGGGAAACAGGATGAGCTGTGATTCTGCCGGCGTCTCGGGTCATGACTTTAGGCAAGTCCGCCTCTGTCTCTCAAGGTGGTTGGGATAAAACAGGCCTAGGGCTTCCAGTCATTAAACATCAGACTTCTAATACATCCCATTTCATTTTCATAATAACCCTGCAAAGTAGTTTTTTAATCTCTACTTTGCAATGAAAAAAAAAAAAAAAAAAAGGTCATATCTCAGGGAGTTACTTGTTCCAGGTCATACACTGGTGAGTGGCAGGGCTGGTTTCAGACTCAGGGTCTGTCTTGTGTTGGGGCTGTGATCTTCCCAAGGAACCCCTGTGCAGCGCTGCCTCTCTGCCCCCTCCCTGCTATAAGCATGTGATTCTCTGGCTCTTGATTTGACCCTCTAGGAGAAACATAATCACCAGGCAAGAAGTATGCTGGGATATTTCCTCTCATTCAGCTGGGCTGGCCTAGAAGCTCAGCAAAGTGAATCCACCCTCAGAGTCCTTGAAGTAGGAAGGAAATCAAAGAGGAAAAACAAAGAAAAAGCAAGCAGCCCAGAATCTCCATGTAGGGGCTTCATAAATACATGAGCGGTGAGGAGCTTCCTAATGAGTCACAGAATGCAGACAGTTTGAGGCTGGAAAGTTCCAGAGGTGGCTTGTCGAGGACCAGCCCACCCGTTGAGTGATGAGGGCTGGGGGTGCTTGGCATGGGGAAGGCGGGCAGGGGTCTCCCAAGGCCGTGAAGCACAGACACTGTCCATTTCTGTCTCACAGCCCACCTGGCCCAGGGTTACAATAGAGACAGGTGGATTGGGGTTGGGGGAGGAGCCGAAAGGCAGGGAGACCTCATTTGCTAACCCTGGAGTGAGTGTTGAGGCTTATGCCTTTGCAGCTCAGGCCTCTCCATGCACCAGAGGAGGTATAACCGGCTGCCCCAGAAGGAGGCTGTGAGTCAGCCCCAGCCCCATTCAGACTCGGAAAATGACTGTCAAAACCTGGGCCTGAATTCACTAAACATCGGCCCCTGCCCAAGCCTTCCCGTCCCACGTCAGAAGCTGCCAACCTGACATCCTCAAGGTCACTCAGGCAGGCCACGGGGGCTCCTCCTGAGGGGCAGGGCACAACTGGCAGGGCACCTTGGGAATATTTAAAGGCTGCGTCGTCCAAGCCCCGCCCTATCTTGGGAAAGCCTGAACTGCTGCAGCCTAGCCAGGCCCTTCTGCCCATGGCCGGCCTATCTGTGACATCTCCCAGCTCCCGAACCTGCCTGGCTTTTCTCACACTTCCTCCTCTGAGCACCTGACACTTGTGACACAGTTGAAACACAATAGCGGAAAGGTCTCTAAGCCTTCACTCTACCCCGTTCCTGGGTGTCTCAAATGTGACCGAAGTCTGGGAAGGCGATTCACAGCCTCAGGCCTGATAAGGGAGGAAAGATTTTTCACAAGTAATTCATCTTTATTGTGCTCGAGGTCTGTCAGAGACTTGCTGTGCGTCCATACTGTGGACCCTCAGGGTCTAAAGGCTGCAGCATCTAAAGCCCGTACCCAGCAACAGAACTAGAGGAACAGAAAAGGCTGCCAGCCCATGTCAGGAACCAGGCTGCATAAGGAGGCAGACTCTGGAGGGTGCAAAGGAGCAGAGGGACTAAGCAGGTGTCGGGGAGGGACAGAGAGCATGAAGGAGAATCCCCCTGCCACCCTGAGCATGGCCACATCGAGTAGCCTGAAGAAAAACCCAGAGAACAAGGAGAATGGGCCACAGGAGCCACCCGTGCAATTGCCAAATCCTCCTGGACTTGATGTGCCTAGCAAGGTGTCTCTTGAACCCATAAAGGGTGACAGTCGGAGACAGTGTGGAATTCTGGAAATCATCAGCAATCCAGTACCGCCGAAAAGCAGTCAAGACACTTTGTGTCAGTCCATAAAGGAAATACAACTCAAATTCACAAGGGGTGTGTGTGTGTGTGTGTGTGTGTGTGTGTGTGTGTGTGTGTGTGTTTAGAAATGTATTGGCTCATGAAACCAGGAAGGACAGGGGATGCAGAGACTCAGACAACGTGGCGTGGCAATGTGATCACTCACTCTGTTCTCTGTGTGTGTGTGTGTGTCTGTCTGTCTGCCTGTCTGTCTGTCTGTCTGTCTTGCTTCTCTTTTTCTGTGAATATGGTTCCTTCCCTCCAACTGAGGACAAGATTCATGCGACAGAGATGTCTGCAGACAGCTCGAGGCTTACATGATTCCACCGCCCCAGAGAGTGATTCCAGGGGAAAGAGAAGACTTCCTCTCCCTCTGGGATGATATGAATTCCTGGAAAGGACTCTGATTGGTTCCACTTGTGTTGCATGCCCGTGACTGTGTGTGGCAGCCTCCACCCCAGAGATGAGTTGTGCAAGAGGCATAATTCCTCCACCCAAAATGCATGGGAGTTTGCAATGACTGAAAATGAGGCATAGAAGGTTGAGAGAGCCAGCAAAATAGATTCTACCACACACAGCAGCAGGGAAGATCAAGTGTGGGAGACATTGCAGTGGAATAATAGACAGAGGTGAGATCGTGCTGGCCTTGAAATCCAGGATGAGACATTTAGACTTTATCCTGCAACTGACGTAGGACTAAGAAGAAAGCATTTAAGCAGATAGTGAGGGTACAGGACTCCTCAGTAAGGTTTTCCTTTTAATGCAAAGCAGCCCCAAAATCATGTCCTTTTTTTTTTTTTTTTCTTTAAAATGGAATCTCTCTCTATTGCCAGGCTGGAGTGCAGTGGTGTGATCTCCATTTCTGCCCACTGCAACCTCCACCTCCCGGGTTCAATCAATTCTTCTGCCTCAGCCTCTCGAGTAACTGGGGCTACAGGCGTGTGCCACCATGCCCAGCTAATGTTTGTATTTTTAGTAGAGATGGGGTTTCACCATGTTGGCCAGGATGGTCTCGATCTCCTGACCTCGTGATCCGCCCGCCTCAGCCTCCCAAAGGACTGGGATTACAGGCGTGGGCCACGGCACCCGATCAATCATGTTCTTTTCTAACAAAGAGCAGCCTGTAAAATCGAGCTGTAGACTTAGCTAGAAGCTTGCACGGGTGAATGCTGGCAGTTGAGCCAATAGGAAAAGGCTACCTGGGACTAGGTATGATCAAAATGACAGCCCCATCTTCCCTTCTCTTTTACAGCCACATGTACAGCAAGGAACAAACAAGATGGCACCCACCCAGTGGAAAGCCCATTTGCATAATAAGATTAGGATGGGGTGGCCAGCCTTCCCCACATGTTATGTAAACGTCACACCTGGTCAAACCAATCTGCGGGCCTGTTTAAGTCAGACACCACCTCCTCAAGCCTGCATATAAAATCTGCTGCAGTCAGCTGCAGGCCAGCTTTTCCCTCTCAGTCACCTGTCACTCAAGAGAGAGAAAGCTGCTCTCCTCTCGCCTTCTGCCTATTAGACTTTCCTCTCCTTGACCTACCCACATGTGCCCCTGACCTTAATCTTCTTGGTGTGAGACACAAACCCCGGGTATTTACCCCAGACAATGATGCTACTTCACAACTGGCAAGGCACCTTGGGAATAGTTAAATAAGATAAGACATGGTATCCGAACCATGTTTGAGATAGTTCAAGCCAGTTTTTTGCTTATTTGTTCACTCATTCAGAAATATTTCTTGAATAAAACAGAAAGCTCTCAGGCAGACACATGGACACTGGCAGTGGGAACTTAGAGGTCTGTGGGTAGAGCACCCCAGAGGCTGCAGTATCAGGCCCAGTCTAGCAGGAAGTCACTCAGGGTTTACTTCAAGATAACAGTTTGAGCTTACAATACCTTCCTCAAACCTTATTGAAGTGATAAAAACAACAGAGAAAGAAAAAAAACAACTTGTAACCCCACTGTTAAAAAAGGAAGAACTACATCAATCCGGCAGAAACCTTGCGGACTTTCTGGAAGATATGAACCCGCTATGACTGGCTATCCTATAAACACAGCAGCAAAGGCAGGGCCTGTGTTCAAGTCCCTCCTGAGACTGATAGCCACAGGAAAGTGCCAGCAGGGGTGGAAACAGAAATAAGCTGGGAAAAGGCTGGGGAGAAGCTCATAGAGACTGGTGCAGTTGCTGACAGTACCCAAACCTATCGGACCTTTTCAGTGTGGGCTTTCATATTTATGAACATCAGTACAGAACAACAAGCACCAATTAGTCATCAGAGGAGATCTAGCAGCCCCCAAAAGGGAACCAACAGTCAGGCAGAGCCAATGGCTTCTATTTCAAAAGAATGATTATGGAAAACAGGAGATAACTTTTAAGGATTCAAATTTGTATTTTCATCCAGCCCCACTGGAAACAAAAAAGAAAACAAAGCAAATTGGTATTCTCAGTAAAATTTCAGACAGTAAAAGAAGAATGAAATGAAAATACTGGGAGAATAAGAAACAGTCCTTAAAAATAAAGGAATGACTATATGCTCACCAAAATAGAATAGAACTACAGCATATATGCTATTGCAACCTGATTTAGTGAATTGTTAGATCAAATCAAAAGAATATAATCTGCTCAAAGGACATAGACAAAAAGATAAATTCATGAGATAAAGACGAAGGAAGGAGATCGACATAATGTTTCAATATTTATATAACAGGAGTCATAGAATAGAAGAGAATATTGGATGGAAGAGGAGTATCAGTGAACAAAATAAGTTGGGCATGGTAGCTCAAATCCCAGCCACTTGGGAGGCTGAGGCAGGAGGATCACTTAAGCCCTTAAGTTCAAGACCAGCAGGGCAACATAATGAGACACTATCCCCACCAAAATCTAA